TATATTTATTTATATATTTATATGTGCATCAAGATTATAATTTGAAAGTATTAACAAATATTTTGATAGATAATAATTATTTTTTTTAATGATTTAACAATATTAAATTCTATTTTACTTGGTGATGAACTTGATGGACTGTTGAAAATGAATGCTGAAGGCCTCGTTTGAACACATGATGGAAATATATACATAAATATATATACCTTTAATAATAATAATAATATAACATTAGGATAGCTATTAATATGGTAAACGACGAAATTCCATTCATCTTCCCACCGTCACCTGTAAGAAAATAATAGAAATTTTAGTTAAATACAGCCTTAAATACACAGGGTGGCCCAAAAGTCAGTTGAACGTGTTTTATTACGCGCGCTTCAGATAAGTCGAATGAATTTGTTAAAGAGTTAAAAATTTAATTTCTGTAATGGTTAGCTGACTTTTGGGTCATCCGTGTTAAATGACAACAGAAACAATTGTCTAAATTCGACGTTTTTAAGGCTAATTAAATTGTAATACCCGTTTAATTGCATAGTTAATGCGTTGGCACGAATTGAAAAGTAATGGATTTAAGTTGATTTTTAACTATAATCAATACAATTCTTCTTTATAACTTTTGTACTCTTACAATTACTTATTAAAATACAATTTCCATGCTAACATAAGAGGGATGATGACGAAATTGATGAATTTAAATGGATTAGATTTGTAACCATGGACTGGAGGAATGCCTCCCAGGAGAACTTTCTAATGAAAAATTGGCGCCCATTTAGGTGTTAGACACTTGAAAAAATCCCAGAAAAATCCACGTAACCATCCCTTTGGTCAGCAGCAAACCCGTTACCAACTATCAGTGTTCAGTGATAATCGGTGACTAACTACAAACTTCAGTAGCGATTCAGCTATTTGGTGGGGTGAATCGTAACGACGCTAAATATATCAAAGAATCATATTTAAATACGTAAACATCTTCGTCTTGCTTGTAGTTAATGATTATAAATCGCTTTAGCTTTTTGGAAAATACTATTAATCAATCTTCTCACTAATCTTTACGGAGAGAATCGCCATTAAATTATCTTCATGCCAACCTGTTGGTATGAAGCAGTTTAAGAGTAGCCGATCTTCTCTTCAACTGTTACGAAGATTAGTTAATGATAATTATTTTCATAAAGATTATTGAGAAGATTCACTTGCAATTCTCTTTGTGCTAATTGATATGAATATTTGTTTAATGACATTTTCTATGAAAACATGGAAAACTTTGTTCAAATTATGCATAATTATATATAAAATTTGCCGCTATCGATAACGAAAACAGTCAGGAAGGCATTTATTGAAGTCTTTCGTATACAGGAAGATCATGACATTGAAAAATGACGTAGACATAGTTTTCAAGCCGAATTCTTGTTCGAAATGCCAAAAATTTCAGCAAACATTATTTAATTTTTGGTCGATTTTTAAAATTCCAATTCCAATTCCAATAGCATTTTTAATACCAATTAGCAACCTGTTAAGCTAATTAATTAGTTATTAATCAACACATATAACTGAAAATACACAAAAAATATAGCCGTCTAGATACATTTTTAGCCGAAAATTGTTATGAAATTTTATAAAAATTTTATTTTGAAACTTACCGCAATAAGGTCGATCGCTAACAATATATCCCGATTCGTCTTGCCAAGTATCATTAATGCAGACGAGATTTTTGGTTTTCTCATCGTTGCAATTATATGTGAGAATGGAACCATTTGCAGGCTGATTCCAACATGAATTCTCGATATTAGTGGTGTTAACGTATCCTTCTCCGGCATCCGGATAATCTTTCGGGCATCCTCGCTCTGAAAGTCAAGATAAATGGCGTTTTTATTCAACATGTAGCAGTAAAATAATCGATTTAACGAATAATCGATTGTTAAAAGAGCATAAAAGTAGAAAATCTACCAGAAAAATGCGTTAAAATCCCCTCGAAAATTAAATAAAATGGACAAATTTTCTCTACTTTAATTCAGATAATTTTATAAATTTATCGTAACTTCATTAAAACGGTATTTTTTTTTAAATAAAAAAAATAAATATTAAATTTAAACATTTTAATTAATAATTAAATATACAATTGTTTTATTTAAAAATTAATAATAAAAAAATAATTTAGAAAATTTTAAGAATAATTTAAAGTTATTATATTTAAATTAAAAAAAACACATTACTGCCATCTAACGGGTATTATTCGAACTATTATTTAAAGATTATTATTAATTTTTTATTATTATGATTTAATTTTCAGTGTCGCCATCTGTAGTAAAGTTATTTAAATAATTATATAAAAACAAATTTTAAATTTAATTTATTATTACCAGCTAATTAAAATCTTGATTTTATTATTAATAAAAATTTTATATGTATAATTTTTGTAATAATTTGAATTAATTTTACTGTTGAAATTAATGGAAGAAAATAATTTAAATATTTCATGAGGCGTGGTGCTAGAAGCACCCTCCTGAATGACGTGGAAAGCGACTACATCAACAACTGCTGATTTTTTTTTTTAATTAATTTAATTGATATAAAAATAAATATTGACATTTTTTATTTATTTATAAATAATTCCTAGTCATTACGGAAATTTTTATAATTTTTCAGTTATTTTACGTGTTAAAACTACCATTTTCTATCGGCAACCCCCCCCTGAGGCTCGTTCGTTTTGTCGGTTTAAATGTACAATTTGACGTCATTTTGAAAATTCTCCATTTTAAAAATGTCGGAATGACGTCAAACTGACGTAATATTAAATTGCAACTTGACAGAACAAATACAGTACACTTGTAATTTTCAATCCATAACGGTTTAGTCACGTGCCACTAGATGCGGTGACTAATGTATAAAGTAGCAGTAACGTTTTCCTGAATTAATAATGAATAATTCAAATTTAATGAATCATATTATGGATTTTTTTTTTATTTTCAAAATGTGAAACTTACACGGAAGCCATTTTGTTGTTAGTAAAAACAGTAGTGTCGCTAATGCTGGTAATGTTACTGCTGTCTGTAGCATCATTACTACTGCTAGTAATAGTAGTAATGATAGATATTTTTAAGTGTATGCATTGTTTTTGACTAGTATCATTAGTAGTAACACTTCTGCAGCTAGTAGTATAGTAGTGTTGCAACTATAAATAGTTATAACGGATTATTTTAAGTGTGTGTGTGTGTGTGTGTGTACTAGCAGCAGCATTTGTTAGTACTTATAGTAGCAATGTACTGCTAGCATTGCTACTGCTAGTAGCGTTACTGTTGGCAGTAGCATCACTGTTACTGTTAGTAATTTTAATAATAATGGTCTCTTCTTAAGCTTTTGACGGTGAAATTAGTGAAAACTTTACTGTATTTTCTGAGACAACGATAGAGCAGTAGCAGTAATATTACAGTAACAATTGTTATACTAGTATTAACAGTAGAAGCAGAAGCAATAACGTTACTACTACCGTTACTGCTGCTGCTGCTGCTGCTGCTACAGAGCAACAGTAGCGATATTAATAGTGGAAACTGTTACTCTCACGAAGTATCGATCTTCCAATTTAATCACACAAACAGTTTACGCTACTGATAACTGATACTTTAAAGAGCACAGTGGTTTCTTTTTCCCCCTGTATACTTTTGTAGATAAAGACCTCACCGAATTGTTACGCAGCAACAATAGGGATATATATATTAGTAGTAGAAATTGTTACGCTAATAGCATATCGAGTCGGTTACATCGATCTTCACACCCCCCATACTGCGGTTAGTCACGTGACTGGACTCTACGTTTTACGTGACGAGGTAGAGAAGTAACACCACCAGCAGCAGCAGCAGCAGCATCCTTAATAATGAATGAATGAATTTACTGATTGAAGCTTGCTTTTTTTTTCTTCCCCTTCCTCCCCTTTTAACTTGTGTTTATCAATTTCTAGTTAAGCGAAACTTTGTTAAAATTTATCGAATTTCTTTATAAGGCATGGCAATATTTGTTTACACGCACATTTCCGTGACGTCGTGGAAAAATTTTAGTCCACCCCTCTCCCTACATCATGCTTAGAAAGTTTAATGAGAAATGATAAGTAAGACACGAAAGCAGATGGCGAGCTTCCGTTAAACACAACTGAAAAAATAAAATGAAGTATATAAAAAAAAAAAAATTGACTAGTTGCAGGAGTTTAATTAGAAATGGATGCAATTTTCTAACCCCTCTCCTTTTTATTTTTAAAGGTTGAAATGTTCGTAGAACTCTAAACACATACTTTCAATTGGTTCTGGTATGAGAATGATGCTTAGATGAAACACTCGACAGTTGTTACGTATTCAAGATTCTGTTAAAGTCTCGAGCAAAATAAAATTAATGAATAATAATGTATTTTAGAATATTTCGTGTGTTTTCTTGATATTCAAATTAAGTTTTCGGTGTTTAAAATAATATTTTTTGTGTAAATTAATGCAAATAAGTCGACTTCGAAGGGAGGGGGTGTACCCAGAAAAATGATGCTGGGAAATTGAGGAATTTTATGGTGGAAACGATGGATTTACAGTTAAATTTTAAGCTAAATGAGTTTAAAATTTGTTAATTTATTTATCTAACCTTATTTTAAGATAGATTATAAGGTAAATTATGCTAATAATTCAACAGTAAAGTTAAAGGTTCTCTAGAGAAGAGAGTCAAAATTTGAGGAATTTCTAATTAAGTTTGGAGTTTCGTATTAAAATTGTCGTCATAAAAATAATTTGTTTTTATTGTTTTATAAATAAATATTCGATATTTAAACTAATTTAAAGGTAAATTATACAGAAATTAATTATAAGAAACGTAACAGAAGCAACGAACAATGCTGAGAAACTTGCACACCATTCAGGGAATAATTAAGAAAAATCTATGCAAAAATCAGCATAAAAGTAATACCTTAAGTTAAAAATATAATATAAAATTTCGAGATATCTTAGATATTTTTTAGATAAATCAGCTCCGGGACATATCTGAATAAAAAGCAATTTTTCTAACAAGAAAAATAAAAAATGGCGACTAAAAAAACAATACATAAATATACAAACAAAGAATATTTAATCTTAAATCGCATTTATTTTAATAAACGAAGATAGAATCAGGATAAAAACATCCTTCTAATCTCTAATACTTTATCATTCAAACTAATTTTAGAGATCGAAAATTATCGGGATGCTGAAGCTATCGTGATAGCATCCACTCCAATTTTTCTCTCAATTTTTGTTTCTAATCTATAGATTCAGTCATTATCTTGCAGGAGAATCATCTTTCAATTTCCTAAAAATATTTTTTTTTTCCCTCCCTCTCTCCTTCACCCTCCTCTCCTCTATTTTTCCTCTTCTTTATCCTCCATCCCCTTCTCTTCTCTACTCCCTCCTTTACCCTCTTTCGTTCTTCCCATACTTTAATCATATTAAATTGTAAGCATTGTTAAGTCTAGCAAATAGCATCTGCACCTAGTAATTTATTTATGACTTATCCGGATAAAAATCTCTCTCGATTATCCGAATTATTCGTCGGGTGCCAATTTATCGTGGTTTATTTTATTACTATTATTATCAATTTTTTTTTAAAATGCTGTTTTAAATTTGTTTCGCTTCTAATTATGGGACGTCGATTAATGGTAGGGGTGACGTTTATTAAAATGTCACACACACGCGTATAAATCGCTGCTGGATGTCGCGCTGTAAGCTGCGTGATGCTAAATACTAGTTGTGATTAATTTAATCTGATTTTAAACTGTTTTTGAAGAGAATTTATCTTATTTATGGGAGATTATTATGTAGTTTAATGTAGAACAACCCCCTTAACTTGGACACCCTTCTAAGTTAAACAACCTTTCACTCTAAACCTCTGTAAGACGGACACTTCCATATGTCAACACTGATAGAGTATTCCAATTAAAAGTCTTGGGAACCTGTCTAACTCGGACGCATTACTGCAGAATACTGTAGTGGCCAGCTTAAAGAGGTTTTAATCATCATTCATTCTTGTTTAAACTGGATGTACACATCACACTATGTTATGTTAATTTAAATGGATTATAAGCCGTGTAAACAATGACAACGATTATATATATATATAGAGAGATATAATTATTAATTATAATCATATAATTAGCAAAATTATGTACAAATCTCTTGGTAAAACAGCGAATGCTGTGTTTGATGTATCATATAACGTTCACTTATATTAGGATTTTCACGCTTGTTATACGAATGTACGTGTTAATTAAGGAAAATTCCGGTGTATTATTGATATATGGGGTGACCTAAAAGTCAATTAACCATTAATATTCCATTCAGACTTCTTATTCGATATACAAAGCTTTGACACACACAAGATGTTGAATTGCTTACAGGAAAAAAAGAAAAAAACATGGCTACCGGACTTGTGGGCCATCTGTATATTCCAAATTAGGCCCTTATCAAGTATCAGCGTGTGCCAAAATATTCATTATAAACCTAAACACGAATCAAAGAGGAAAAACACTGAATAAATAACAATCTTAAGCGTATTTTATCTGAAAAGAATGGGATAAAATGTCGACATTTGCATCCAAATTCAGAAGATGGATCCAACGTATTGCATCTTTCTAAGAATTCAATATATAATGCATTCATGCTATCAAGATTTATCATTTTTTTATATTAAACACAAGATTGAAGCGATTTTACGCAAAATATACGAATATATTAATCAAAAAACTACCGAAAAAAGCCTAGAAACATAAAAAAAACTTAAAAATCACTCATATATGACGTATAACATTCGTTTGTTACGTAATATCGATTTCAACCAAACAGAAGAAATCAATTTTATGAATAAATCAATTTCAAATAACTTGTTTAGACATGTCGTAAAATCAGTTAAATTCAGTTAAATTTTTCAATGATCCAAGGTCAGACGCATTTCCGGTTCTTATTTAACACCATTATAAAACCGAAAGGTGCGTGTTAAATATGGCACAATTATTTCACTTTTTAAAACACCAAAACATTCATTAAAACGGGGTAAAACCTAGTGAAAGAGCAGGTATAAGTGTTACGCTGCATTAGTTTACTATAAGAAGTCGAAGAAGCACGTTATAAAGGGGGAAAACGTTCAATTAAAATTAATGAAGTCGGTGACGCTTATCTGCAGCTAAATCATGAATTTTTAATGAGGTATTAGTTAATTATACATTATTAAAACTGCATTAAGTGGTGAGTAACGCTTAACTAAACGCCATACTTTTGACAGTCCGGCATCTTTGAGGGGTGGCATCTTCACGTTGTGTTCATCATCTTGGGATTAAGTGTGAATGTTAATCAGCATCAGCTAATTATTATCTTGATTATTTATGTATAAATTTGAGTGAAAATGGCGGACATCATCATTAACTTCACCCCCCACCCGGTTCGTGGTTCTTCCAGTCGATCGTGTGGCTTATAATTGGGCGAATCAATAGAGGATTTTTTTTTCGCCACAAAGGGACATGAAAAAGTAGAAAAGAATAGAGAAAAAAAAGGGATGTTGAACCGTGTCAAAAGGCCAGAGAACAATAAGAGAACAGTAAATAAATATAAGAGATAGAAAACACGGTTTGAGAGTGAGGAAGTGGAGTTTATTGTTGTAGAAAATGGAGGAAATGTTAGATTACTAAATAAATTGTCGAGATAATAAATAAATAAAATCAATTTTCTTGACAATAATTCCTTATTTAAGAGGTTTTTTTTTAATCGACAGTAGATGAATAAGTGCCTTTCACAGAAGAGCTGGAAACAATGCAACAGAGTTGAACCTCCGATAAAAAGTCACCCCCCAAACAGTGAAACGAATAACCTTCGAACAACGGCCACTTTTTAACGTTCTCGTCAGTGGTCGTTGTTAGGAGGTTTGGCTGTATTCAGAATCACCTTTGATCATGTTTGCAGCTATCATTAGAAGGTGTAACTTGTAAATCTTTTTAAGGGTTTATACCGATTTTAGATGAATAAATGCCTTTTATAAACCTTTCAAGAAGTACTAGAAACAATTTAACTGAGTTAAATAACCTCTAGAAACGGACACTTCAAACGGATGGTTTCTTTTTTTTTGAGATGTTTACAAAATAACCTGCGAGTATCGGCCAGATTTTTTGAGTGTTTTTTGTCAGTGGCCGTTGTTAGGAGGTTCTACTGTATTCAGAATCGATTTGTTCCTGTGATAATTAGCATTTTAGTTGCCCTGATCGTACTTGCAGCTTCCATCATTAGAAAATGTAACCTGCAGATCTTTTCAACAAAGTTTTATCTCTTAAAAATGTGCGCTTTTAATCAATATTTTAGAAAATTGCTTTGACTGATGATGATGATGATGATAAGCCTGTGTGATGCAATGGAAATTTGAAAATATCGACAGATATTCTGTTCTTTTAAATGTAACAATTGGATAAATTTAATTGTATAATCAATACCTGCAAAGCTCATTTTTGCGTGTGAAATGTAATGAGAAGATGAACATAAGTCAGTAATTTTCTATGAAAATGTATCTAAAGAAGATCAGTTGTTTGATTAATTACTTAATAACATCTTCATTAAACCATGAAATTAATATATTTTAATAATTAACGTGTATTTTTCTCTACAGCAATCTATTATAGTACTACAGAGGTGATTTACAGAGTGGGTGAAAATTAACTAGGCATTAAAAAATGGCTATAATTTTTGTAATAATAACGCAATCGTATTAAAATATATGCTTACATGTACTGTACATCAATCAATGAAATTTTATTATGCTTGCATCAGTGTTGCTGACAGTGACCGAGAGAGGCTTTACGCGCAGTGGCAATAAAGATGGCCGACCACTTGTTTGTTCAAGAGAGAGTGCAGATTGCTATACGTTATGAGGGGTAAAAATCAGTTGTAGAGAAGAGACAGTGGCGCACATGAAAAGTCGTCATGCTACAATCCGTCCGGAAACAATCGAGAATTGTCATTCGAAGCTAAAAAGGACCACAGGTTCGATTGTGAACGAGAAAGAAGTGAAGACCGTCAGAGAAGTGGTCGTCCATCCACATGGCAATCTGAAGAAAACGTGTCGTTGGTGAATGACGCCGGCGCCTTCATTAAATATTAAGGTATGCATTCGTATTTTAATTTCATAACGTACATGTTAAGTAATTTTCCTCATCTTTGCTTTAGAATTATAGAAATTATAGCGATTTCTCAATGCCTAGTTACTTTCCATCCATTCTGTACATGCATCGAAGAACAGATGAATGAACATTATTTGTTTTACTTAATAAAAATAAAAATAATGATTTATTAACTAAATTAACATATTTATAATATATTTAGTTAAGTATATTTTACTTATATGCGCTTTTATTTATGAATTTTTGTCTTGTAAGTCTATTTGAAACCGGGTCTTATAAGTGTTTAATTGCATCAACTCAACACGTGGACGATCTGTCAAGGAAAGTGTCACCCGGGAGGACTTTCTGTAAGGCCCCTATTTAGTTTTTACACACGTAAAAAACCCGGAAAACTCAATGTGGCAAGCTCGCTGGCCAGGCGCGAACCCACGACTAGTGTTCAGTGGTTTAATTCACTTGGGCACTAGTGGATGATTGGTGTATGAAGAGAGATAGAGGCAATGATTTAGAATCAATAGAACCGTATAGAATATGTGGATAGTCACAAAACAATGGGCAAATCTCCCTTGTGTAACTTACTCGTGTTTAAGAACTGATTTCTGACACATAGCTTTGTGTTTTGAAACAAAATCGCGTGATTTATGTTTCCATATTAAAAAGAAAAGAGTATTGTGTAAGGAATAAGTGCGTTGTTTTTATTAATAATTATAAAAGAGCAGAGGTATTTTTTGCGTTAAACAAATTTTTTTTTTTATCTAAAGAATTTCGCTGAAGAGTTAACAGTTGCTTACAGAAAAGGGGACTTCATACAGGATAAATTCTTGTAGGTACAAAGTGAATTAGTAATCAATCACCCAACCTTTAGGCCCTAATAAGTGCTGCGACACTCTGAGCAAGAGTTAATTAGTTTTTGGCATCAGATCAATAAGACTTTCGTGAAACTACAGTTTGTTAATAATTTCCTGCAGTGAAGCGATTGCAACAGACAAACATCCATTCTAGAGTATCGTTCTAAACATTTTCTAGCGCACTAGATTAACAAAAAAACAGTTTCTGAATAGAATTTAGACCTTTACAACACGTTTAGTTTATATGTGAAAAACACTAGAATCTTAGGATGATTCAGTGAGTTAAGACGTGACTACTGCTCTGGAGGATCATCCAATACCTGTCTTTCAGAGCAGTAGTTATGTCTTAACTCAATTTTTATCAATAATCTGGTCCCTACCTCATCATCATTAAGATCCTCACTAAACCTACGATGGACTTCGTGCCTCATCATTGAAATCCTGACCGAAATCATTATGTGCCTCTTGTAGAGATTCTCTTATTGCCCACATTACAGGAAGAGTTTAAACCCTCCTCCCGGGTTTCTATTCGTTTAATTTTTAAAATAAATGAATAATTATTAAAATTTTAACTCAGTAATTTCTATGCTATTCGTGTTCCATTTCCAGCAAGAATTGTAGTAAGTCTGTAGACCTGTACGTCAAATTTACGCTTAAATCAACTCTAGTTTAAGGTAGAGATTGATAATTTTATATACTTTCGTCAACTCTCACTACGTGTAGGCTGAAAATAATGGGTGTAACCTGTGATATGGGTGTTAAACTGTAGGAGTGTTTGGTTCTATATTTAATTATGAAGAAATAAGAAAGCTCAACTTGGTGCTGCAACAACTCTTTAAATATTGGTTACAAAAGAGTTCGTTACTCAGAATTTTATACAGGGTGGCCTAAAAGTAGGTATACTTTACAGTAGTCAGCACGTAGAGGAGGGAATGTTGACGAAGGACATATGCGTGATTGAGATATATAAACAATGACTGTTACCTTTACCTTGTACCTGTACCTTTGTATACTTACTTCCTGAATACTATACGAGAAAGTATAAAGGAACAAACACATACTGACTGGCTTCTAACTGTATACAGTGGTATACAGTTAGAAACCTTTAACTTTAAACAAGGTGGGCCAGTTAGACTTTTGGCCCACCCTGTCTAACAGGAAATAAACCCTTTAACATCAGAAAATAATTGAGTTATTAGGTAAAGGGACTCACCTCCAAACATGCGTCTTTCAATACCAAATTCGTAGGTGGTTCCATCCAAAACAAACTTACAGCTGAGTGTAAGATCTGTGACATTCTCTTCGAAATCTTTCTTCTTATATATGGAGTGTATGGAGATTTTATAGGTTTTATTATGAAGTTGTTCGATATGCAAGCTAATACTTTGCTTTTCTTGAGGTCCTTCGAATAAACATTGAGGAAGGGGCCTTGGAAACACCCCAACGCACTTCATTTCAAAGGTCTCTTCGCACGATTCTCGATTCAGAGTGAATTTCCAATCAGAATCTTTGCAAGCATCTGAATAAAATGGAGGAGAATTAATTAAAATCATAGAGAACAAGCAAGAAAGAACTAAATCGCCACTAGATTCGTTTTCCTCTTCATCTTTATAAGATAAAGATGAAGAGGAAAACGAAGCAGTGGATTCAGAGAGACAGGAAGATGAGTGAGGAAGAAGGATGCTGGAGAGTGGAAGATGCAGATGAAACTTAGTAGGAAAGTGGAAGATGCAGATGAAACAAAAGTTAAGAAAATGGAAAAATACTCTAAGATAGAATATTAAATTAAATTTCACACATAAAATGATAATATTCCAGTTCAATATTTAGTATGAAACAAATGCATTTTTTATGCTCTAACGAACATAAATTAAGTTCGTTCTAAGTAAAATACAGGCTGATTGTGTTTATTATATTTTAACATTTAATTTATATAGGAAATTAATTTTAAAATAGAAAATTTAAGTAACAAATGCAGTTTAATGCAATAAAAACGGAATTATATAAAGCTACCCCCCAAAAAATAATTAAATTATCTTCTTACCCATTATTACAGGAAGGTAAAACTCAGATGTTTCTGTCTTTTCATTAAGATAAGTTACAGAGCACTTATATTTTCCAGCCATCTTAATACTCGCTCTTTTAATATGTATAGCGAAAGGATTCTTGTTCTGATCATCAATTTCTCCAAAGAAAATTGAATTCTTTTCTATATTTATATACTTCCTCTTGGTATATATTCTCTCGCCGTTAAAATCCCAATAAAATTTCTTAACTTCGTCAGGATTTTTGTTACGAACGTTACAGTAGAGAGTAACACCTTGACCATGAAAGACATATTTGCCTGTATCAACATCCGACTTGTAATCTACTATATCTTCTTTCTCTTCTTCCTCTTCTTCATCTTCCTCTCCATGTATACCTTTAAAAAAATGAAAGAAAATAACTTAGAATTTTATAAAAAAGAAGGAAAAAATTCCACATTTTTTTTTGTATATATAGCCTATATATCCTATAAAAATACGTTCCGGTTCTCAAATTTTTTTATGTATTCAGCAGGTAAGATAATTTCCCTAGAGGTAAAAAAAAAAGGTAGAGTTTTCTTTATTGAAATTTGATATTTTAGCTTGTGTAATCTATAAAAGATCTGGAGGAATGTAACTTTCTATGAAAATAAATTATTAAAAAGGCAGTAGAGTGGTTTAAAGATCAGATAGCACGGGATGAAACTTTCCTGTTGAAGAAGTTCCATCGACGAATGGAATTTCCCTTTTGATAAGTGGATAAAATGAAAGTAAAGAATAAAAAAAAAATCGCTTATAACACCTAAAATATGTATAAAATATCTTAATATTTACTAAAATATCAATCACCATGATACGTAATAGACAGTTATCACGGTCAACCATGTTTAAGTGGAAGATAAAGGGTGTTTTCCTTGCAGGAATTGGACTTAAGCGATCTCCAAGGTCATTGGACAATTGCTTCCTGCCAAATCATCCTAACAACTCATTCCTTTGACGTAAACACTAAATATTATTAACCTCATTTTAATATAATATTTATACTCCGATTAAACATTTTGAACCGTCCTTTGTTAATTTACTCGGTGGCACCATCCCTTTGCACTCTTCCACCCCGTATTCCTAGCTTATTTTTATATCTTTTTTTTCGTGTGAAACGTAACTTTTAACCTCCAAATCGTTAGAAAAAATACTCTAATTTTATAAGAATAATAACGATTAGAATCCCTGTTTAGTAAGTCACGTCACGGGTATCGATTATCTTGACGTCAAAACTGCACTGCAGTGCAATCGCCAATGGATATAACGGTTTAGTTACGTTAGAAAATTATTAACATAATGAATTTACACTGGCTGAAAATTTAAACTAAACACAAAGGGGTTTAAGGGTAATTTCAGGTGTTTATCGAATTGCACGAGCTGTGTTGCCCGGTGAAGCAATGCAAAAAAAAAAAAAAAAAAAAGTAATCGATAACGTCACTTACCTCGATACGTAACGAGTAACAGGATCAGAGATGCGAAATACAGCGACCTTTTTCTATCCATTACCATGTATATTTACTTATTTTGTATAGCGTAACTGAAAGCTTGGATAGCACTGGGCGTTACCTAAAGCAGCGCAACCAATAGTATGGTAGGAAGCTTCACAGTTTCGAGGCTTTCATTCATTACGCGCTGATCGATACGTTATGTTGAGTATACGAAAAGGGCGAAATGATTTCCTTAAAGCGTTATTTATGTGAGCTTACCAACGTCACATCGAGTAGTCCTATTTTTGGAGATGCTACACCTTTTCGAGGAGGAACAAGTTTCGTGTTATTATTAGTTTATTCTTTTTTAGAATCTCGCTAGCGAGAAAAAAAAAAACACTACTACACTACCCCGTGCTGTATAGGTAGCGGCGTATTTTTGGTACTAAAAATCGGTATTTTTCTTAATTATAATTAAATATAAAGTTATTAAGCGTTTAAATTCGTACCAGAGTAAAATTAAACAGTATAATCGAGTTTTTTAAGCCAAAATTTTGGTACTAGAATACGATTTTTACGCCGCTATAATCCCGAAAAAATGCACTGTATTTGAATGAAAAATGTGCGATTTTTCAAATTTATGCCTCTTTTTTTCCCCCGATATTAAATGAGTTATTCGAGGAAGAAAATGCCGAATTTTTATTTAAAATTTTAAGTAAGGTGCCGCGATTTATGTTCTTTCTTGGCATATTTCCCATTGTATAACGCGAAGTGCATATTGATGAACATAAAAGAAAATCCGCGTGTGGGCGGTAGTAAAAGACAAAAAATTTGAATTTCTTCCAAGGGATTACATCATAACTCTTCCTGTTTTCGTCACAGCTACGTACCGTACGTGCACCTTATTATTATCATTAATTATTATATGAAAACATAGCAGTCGGCGATATATCAATGGACAAGATTTAATTCTAAACAGGAGGAAACACGGTTATTATATAAAATTATTATATTAAATAAATATTTACGTTAAAAATTATTTTTAGAATTTAAAAATATCAATCTCATACTTTTAAATTTAAAATATATATATATATATATATAAATTTAATTTGCCGAGAAGTTTGATTTTTATCTCCAGGGGTCGCTGATAGGTTAATACACGTGTCATGTGGAGAAAACAGGTGAGAACACGTGGTTGAGTGAAATGTATTTGTTTATAAAAACAAATTAATTAAATGAACAGAATATAGAAAACGAATGAAAATGATTCGGTTTAAGTTACTCGATTTAATTAATTGTAAATTAAAACAGATAAGATTGTAGCCAAGTTGCTTATTTGTATCAAATTTGTGAGTTTGAATGAACTGATTGTCAAGGAATTAATTTAAAAAAACAAACAAACAGCAGATTGCTACGTTATATTAGGCGAACTGGCCTCATTTTTTGCAAAATCGCACTCATCTGTGCTGTTTTTTTGAATAATATTAAACATGACACGTGTTTTTGTTCTATTTAGATCGGAAATTAATATGAATTAAACGAAAAATAAATAAATTATTTGCATATTTACATTTCTTAATGCAATTTTTAAACTCTGTTCTTAAATTATTCAACGTTTTAATATTTATTTATTTATTTACTTTTTACAGGTTATTTCTTTTTAAAGATGCTGGAGGATAGCAAATTTAAGCTGAAAGATTGTCACATTCCAAATTGCTGATGTAATGTGAAGATAGCATCCTATATTTGTTCGAGATATAGTGTTATTTTTACACAAACGGTATAGAATGTAAGAATTTTTATCTTAAAATATATACAAGCAATTTAAATTATAATGACATAAACCATTATAACTTAAATTGCTTAAGTTTGATTATTATTCTATGCAAATATAAGGAATGAATAGCATTTACTTGTTTAATATTACTATTAAGAATTCTTCATTTCGAGTAAACAGTCAAGGTGCTTCAAAAGAGAATTTATTAACTAAGATAGCTTGTAATTTCTCTTTATGAGAGGGAAATTATATGTTCTTAAATGTAGTTTATCATTTACAAGGTCATTTCTTGAATATTATTAATTTTGTATTATCCAGCTGACATGAAAATAAAAGTATGATTGTGTAGTTGAAAATAGATTGTCTCAACCAAATTTTTAAAAATAAGTGATGAGTTAACATTCTACAAAGTGATATACAAGTGAAAAGTATCAAAAGTTTTACTTCTATGCATTTGTAGCTAGAACTATTTTAAGATGATCAATACAAAACCTTCCTCACTTATTTCCACAGTGTACCTGAAGAAGGCCTATTAAGAAGGCCAAAAACGTTTGTACTCGTGTATAAACGGCTAGAAATAAGTGAGGAAGGCTTTGTATTGATCATTCCAAAAGTTTTACTACTATTACATATATAAATATTTTAATATTAATGTCTTAATCTAATGTTGTGTTTCTATTTATTTAAAAAAATGATAGTCATCACTTATAAAATTCCAATTAAAATTTGAAATATACGCAAATTGTTTATTTTGCTTCATTCTTATTATGTTTTAGGGACTGTCCATAAATTACATAATATAGAAATGGATGGGTATGAAGGTAGTTGTTATAATGCATTATAAGGGAATGGGTTATTTACAAAAACATCAAATAATGCTAAGGTGTCAATTCTTGTGTAACAGAATGATTTATTTTTGTTTACAAAGTATCTCATAGTGAACTGTACTGTTTATGTCACTGCTTTGTACTTTACATTATACATATAATTAATAAACTAATAGAATTGTTTGATATCCTGTTCTGTGTATCATTCCTAAGTACAATTAAGGAAGCTGATTGAGGATATGCATTATGTGATATTAGAGTTAGGTATGTGCACCAGCATTATGGAGTATTATGGAGATGGGATGATGATTGAAAAGTATAAATATAATAGATTATGAAATTTGTAATATATATTTAATCCCATATTTTTTAAGTATTCAAAACAAAACTTTATTTGAATTTTCCTGGCACATTTTCAGTAAGTTCATTAAATATTCTACTAATTAAATGTCTAAAAGAATTCATTCTACAAAAGCATAATGTTTTTAAGGAATCTGTAAATTTGACTGGCATCTACATGGTGGTTATAATTAAACTGACCTTATTCAGACTTCTCAAGAGCCTATTCTGCTTGTTTGATTTTGATGACGCTTGGTATATACATTATATACACCATGGGGAAGAGATTTCTGCAATAGAAAAATCACTGCCAGATGGCATTTTTCACAAAATCCTTATGCAAAGTAGGCAGACCTACTAATAAAGGACTACATTCAAACCCTGGAAATCATTTTGTGCACCTTTATGTTATTGTTAATCATGCCCTTACAGAAGAAAGACCAAGTTTTGCTGGTGAAACTGTTTTATCAGAATGGCAGCAATAGCTTAGTTGCACCTCGAGAATATCGATGTTTAAAATAATTGCAAAAAGGGCTCATGTCAAAGAATGGCTTGAAAAGCATGATTACGAAATTTGAAGTGACTGGAGATCTGGGTGCGCTGCCAGGAAGAGTGCAGAAACTAATTACCAAAGAAATTGTCAAAGAAGTTGCTGTTGCTGTGTTGACAGGCCTCCAGTTCACAATATTCTTCAACAAGTTATGGTTATGGGGATTCTTAAAAAAATAATGCTTATAGAGGAGGGATTACAACTCTGTTTGAATCGAAAGCCTGCATTACACACACATTGAACAAGCTGTAATGCACTGTGAACATGTTATTAATGTTAATGGAGCACACATTGAAGACATTCTGTGATTGAATAAACTTTAATGCTTCTGATTTGTTTTCGTCCTTCTTTAGTCTTCACATTTTCATCTGGTAATCAAATTTTGAATTAATTTTTTATTGTAGAAATCTCTTTTCTGTGGTCTATGTAATGTATATACCAAGTTTCATCAGAATCTGATAAACAAAATGGGCTCTAGAGAGGTCTGAATTAGGTCAGTTTAATTATAACCACCATGTAGATGTCAGTCAAATTTAATGACTAAGGTTAAGGTTCAGCTGTCTACTATAATTTATCATGTTTATTGATTATTTTGTTTTAACTTTTTTCTCTCTGTGAGCACTAAGAGGACCTTTATAGCAATCTTGGTCATGTTCACAATAGAGCACCTGGCTGATGGACAGACCCTAATGTATCCAGACAGATTTACCCCTGAAAAATGGAGTTATAGTGGAGTTATAGATCATAGTAGATGAGTTTTCTCCAGCTGGTGCTGTAAATAACTGATTATGGTTATATCCAAATTAATAAGTTCTGAAAGCAAAGATTGGACAAAGGTCTGAATAGCATAACTGGCAATGCGACTGTATGGTAATCAGAAGTTGTGGGTTTGACTCCTGCTTCAGGCCAATTCTTTTCTTCCATAACCTTCTAAATTAATTATTAAAATATTAATTTAATAATTGAAATTGAGATTCACAACATGTGGTAATTAGCTTTGAGGGATTGTGAAATAGAAAATTTCTCAGTTTCATCTTTCAGCCATTGATATAAATTAAACAGCTCAGGGACTGCTTTAATGCCTTTCAGTTGCTAATGTGGAAAATTTATAGAGAATCTGGAATGGGAGGAAACATAGATTTGCGATGGGTAAGATATTGATATGTTCTAACCAATATATCAGTGTCATGATATCTTAAAATATCAATATTTAGTCCAATTTTTGCTAAAATTGATATCAAGAAACATCATTACCAAGTGGATTTTACTTTTTTCTGTGGTAAAAGAAGAAATATCATTTAACTATTCTAAAAGAAATAAAATATCTACTTTCTTTTATCAAATAACAACTGAAATTTCCAATCAGAAGCACATAACAAGCAGTTCAATGATTCCAATGATAAGCTGCATGAGGTTGAGTTTAGATAAAAAATAAATGAAATATGAAATGGAGAAAAACTCAAAGGTGAAGTATGTAAAGCTATTAGTTGTTATCTCAATGAAAATATTGAATACTGCCATACACTGAACGAATATACAGCTACAATTAGTAAATTCAATACTGCCATTTGCTTGCCATTCCCACAAAATTAGATCCTAGCTTTATGTGACTACACTTCTCTGTTCTGGCTGCATGGTCCGAGAAAGATAGTAATAGTGCAGTTTTAATTTGGAGTTTCCATTCTAAGCTGGTAGCAGAATTTCTAAAAATTCAATCCAATAATGATACTCTCATTACTGAGATCAAACATTACTTGAATCAGGCTGTGATAGATATAAAAGCTA